AAGAGACAAGGGCATTATATAATCATAAAGGGGACAATCCAACAAGAAAATCTAACAGTTGTAAATATTATGCACCAACATAGGAGCACCCAAATACATTAAACATAATAACGAACATAAAGGAACTGATTGATAATAACAGAAGAACAGTGGGGGACTTTAACACCCCACTGACAGCAATGCACAGATCATCTAAACAGAAAACCAGCAAGAAAACAATGGCTTTGAATGACGCCTTAGACCAGATGGACTTAACAGATATATTGAGAACATTCCATCCAAAGCAGCAGAATACACATTCTATTTAAGTGCACATGGAATATTCTCCAGAACATACATATTAGGTCACAAAACAAGCCTCAAGAAATACAATAAGATTGGAATCATACCATGCACCTTTGCTGACCACAACGCTGTGAAAATAGAAGTCAACCACAATAACAAATTTGGACAGATCCTCTAGGGCGCCTGGGTGGCTCAGTCGTTAAGCATCTGCCTTCGGCTCAGGTCATGATCCCAGGGTCCTGGGATCGAGCCCCGCATCAGGCTCCCTGCTCAGCGGGAAGCCTGCTTCTCCCTCTCCCACTCCCCCTGCTTGGGTTTCCTCTCTCTCGCTGTGTCTCTCTCTGTCAAATAAATAAATAAAACCTTTAAAAAAAATATTTGGACAGATCACAAATACGTGGAGACTAAACAATGCTACTAACAATATATGGGTCCACCAGGAAATCAAAGAAAACAAAAAAATACATGGAAACAAATGAAAATGAACACACAATGACCCAAAACCTTTGGGATGCAGCAAAAGCAGTCCTAAGAGGGAAGTATATAGCATACAGGCATACCTCAAGAAGCAAGAAAAATCTCAAACAACCTAACCTTACACTAAAGGAGCTAGAAAAAGAACAACAAATGAAGCCTAAAGCCAGCAGAAGGAAGGAAAGAATAAAGATTAGATCAGGAATAAATGATATAGAAACTACAAAAACAATAGAACAGATCAATGAAACCAGGAGCTGGTTCTTTGAAAAAATTGATAAAATCGACAAACCTCCAGCCAGACTTATCAAAAAGAAAAGAGAAAGGACCCCAATAAATAAAATGACAAATGAGAGATGGGAAATAACAACCAACACCACAGAAATACAAAAAATTGTAAGAGAATATTATGAAAACCTGTATGCCAACAAATTGGACAACCTGGAAGAAATGGATAGATTCCTAGCAACATATAAACTACTGAAACTGAAACAGGAAGAAATAGAAAACTTGAACAGATCAATAACCAACAAAGAAATTGAATTAGTAATCAAAAAACTCCTAACAAACCAAAGTCCAGGGCCAGATGGCTTTCACAGGCAAATTCTACCAAACATTTAAAGAGTTAATGCTTATTCTTGTCAAACTATTCAAGAATAGAAAAGGAAGGAAAACTTTCAAATCCCTTCTATGAGACCAGCATTGCCCTGATACCAGCACCAGATAAAGACTCCACTAAAGAAGAGAACTACAGGCCAATATCCCTGATGAACATGGGTGCAAAAATTCTCAAGAAATACTAGCAAATTGAATCCAACAAAACATTAAAAAAAATCATTCACCATGATCAAGTGGGATTTATTCCTGGCTTGCAAGGACGGTTCAATATTCACAAATTAATCAATGTGATACACCACATTAATAAAAGAAAGGATAGGAAAGATATGATCATTTCAATAGATGCAGATAAAGTATTTGACAGAGTAAAACATCCATTCATGATAAAAATCCTCAACAAGGTACATTTTGAGGGAACATACCTCAACATAATAAAGGCCACATATGAAAAACCCACAGCTAATATCATCCTCAATGGGGAAAAACTGAGAGTTTTTCCTTTATGGTCAGGAAGAAGACAGAGATGTCCACACTCACCACTGTTATTTAACATAGTACTAGAAGTCCTAGCCACACAAATCAGACAACACAAAGAAAGAAAAGCCATCCAAGTCAGCAAGGAAGAAGTCAGACTCTCACTACATGCAGATGACATGATACTCTATATAGAAAACCCAAAAAACTCTACTAAAAAATTGCTAGAACTGATCAATGAATTGAGTAAAATTGCAGGACACAAAATCAATGCCAGAAATTTCCTGCATTTCTATACACCAATAATGTAGCAGCAGAAAGAGAAATCCTGGAATCAATCCCATTTCAAATTGCACCAAAAACAATAAGATATCTAGGAATAAGCCTAACCAAAGAAGTGAAAGACCTATACTCTGAAAACTATAAAACAGTGATGAAAGAAATTGAAGAGGACACAAAGAATTGGAAAGATCTTCCATGCTCATGGATTGAAAGAACAAATGTTGTTAAAATGTCCATACTACCCAAAGCAATGTACATGTTTAATGCAATCCTTATCAAATACCAACAGCATTTTTCATGAAGCTGGAACAAATAATCCTGATATTTGAATGATATTTGACCAGAGAGGTCTACAGGGCCTCAGTTCTAGTGGAGGTGGTGTCAGGTCTCATTTCAGAAGCAGACCAGAGCAAAGGATGTTATACACAAACAATGAACCATGGAACACTACATCAAAAACTAATGAAGTACTGTATGGTGACTAATATAACATAATAAAAATAAAGAAAGAACAACAACAAAAAATCCTGATGCCTGGTCATCTGAGATTTTCTAACATAAATCACCCAGAGTGTGGCTTTAAAAGTGCCCCGTGAGGGGTGCCTGGGTGGCTCAGTCGTTGGGCGTCTGCCTTCGGCTCAGGTCATGATCCCAGGGTCCTCGGATCGAGCCCCACATCAGGCTCCCTGCTCAGTGGGGAGCCTGCTTCTTCCTCTCCCCCTCCGCCTGCTTGTGTTCCCTCTCTTGCTGTCTCTCTCTGTCAAATAAATGAATAAATAAAATCTTAAAAATAAATAAATAAATAAATAAAATAAAAGTGCCCCGTGATTCTCAAGAGCAAGCAAGGTTGAGAATCAGTGGTGTGAAGCATGTCTGCCTGATGTGAAGGACTCCCAGGGTCCAGGCCATCCTGGGTACCTGGCCCCACCTTCTGCAAGCTTGGCTCCATTCAGGCTGGGCTCCCTTTCCATCCCTCTTTGAGCTCTGTGAAGGCTCTGCATGCTCTCCTCCCATCTGTTCTTATCCTTCCAGGCTTGGTCAGTCCTTAGGCCCCTCCCTGGTGCCTCCCCATGCACCAGATCCCATTCCCTCCTCTGCTATATGTTCTAGGTTACTATAGGCCTCTGTCATTATTCCTTTCTTAAACTCCCACCAGTGGCTTATAGTCATCCAGGGAAGTTCACAAGTGATTTGAAGTTGATTTAGAGCCCCAGGATACAAATTGTAAAGAATTTTAATTTTAATAATTTAAGAAATGACATTTGTGTATAGGCTTGTTGTGTGTGTGTCTGTCTTTCTGCAGGGGAAATATATGCATCCCATTTAAGATTTAAAAAATAACAAGGTGTTACATTTTTAGAAGAATCTGGAATCTGTCCTCTGAAAAACATAAAGAATCATGGCCACTGAATCATTTCAAGCAAGGCTGTACAATACGGCCTACTTTTAGGACTTGTGCATTTATTATACAGCTCATCCCTTTATTAGACTATCAGAGAAGAGGAGGAAGATGGAGGTGGTCTCCATCTTATTTGTGGCTTTAGGGCAGCTGCATAGCAGTAACTGACTACAAACAGGGGTCTCAGCCCTGAGAGAAAGTGGGGCTCTGGCACACCTGGGCTGGGGCAGACACTCCCTGCAAGCTCCTGCTCCCCCACAGACTGGCAGTTCTCACCTTCTAAGGCATTGCTGACCCTTCAGTCAACTGAGATTAGAAGGTGACTCTGCTGGTGGCTGCCCCACACTTTAGGATAGTCACTAGGGGAGAATGGGGTTAAAGATTCACTCAGAATACTGTAGGGTCTTCAGAAGCTCACCATTTGCACCACATTCTGGAGCCAGGAGATGGTAGAAAACAACCATCATGCTTCACAAAGAACTCCTGCCATCAAGAATGGATGGTTCCACCGGGAGAGGTGACAGGATCTTTAGCAGGGAGGATGGCCATACATTAAAATGCATAATACCCACTCAGGTTTACTTTGCAAGCTTGAACATAACACAAAATACATTCTGTATTACTTTTGAAAATACTTTGACATGATGCCTAAGAACCTGGTTTAAAATTTAAAAGTTTATGCCTTTTACTTAAAATTAAAGCAAAAGGAACACAAGCCAACAAAATTTTATCCCCAGCCTGGTACAGAGAAGGTGCTCAATAGATATTTGTTGAATGAGTAATGGATGAATACTCCCACCCTCCAGGCTTGACAGCTTACAGAGTAAGAGTAAGATCCCAGATATATGCATCTAAAAGTAGTATTTATGTGTTTGTAAATCATTATTGTCCTTCATGTTTCTTGTCTCCTTTGTTTTTGTTGTCAGTAAGGCTTCATTCCTGGTTCTCATATGCTTGTGTAACTGTTGCAGATCCACCTGAGAATGAGCACTCAAGGGATTATTAAAACAGAAAAACCCATTATTCTCAAGGTTGAGCCAAGAGATGGGAGTGTGGACAGAGCCTGACTTTCTCTAAGGACTTCCCCTTTGTTCTTTAAGAAGCTGTGTCCCAGATCACCAGAGACCTCAATTTTCTTTGTGAGTAAAACCCAGAAATGAAGATGGCCTTCATGTACTGCCCATGATGGATGACTAGGGATTCTGTACATTCATTTAGCTTTCCCAGTGTCTGTGTGGAGCCTTATAGATTGTGGAGAGTAAAGGAGGTGGTAATAATTGCCGGAGATGTAGACTCAGCCTGTCTGGTTCACACAGACTACCCCCAGTTAGTACCAACTACTCCCCTGAGCACCGATCAAGAATAAAACTTTCTCAACAATTTTATCAACAAACTTTAATGAAAACAAGAATTAGTGTCATGACTGTGCTAGTGACATTTATATCATATGTCTTATTTTGAATATTTTACATTAAATATACACTGAGCCAGTCAATCAACACCTCTTTACAAAAGTATTAACTGATGGTTTTGTGCACATTAAGGGGGAATCCGTAGAACTGATGAGTGAGAGCCAGCGACTGAATGTTTTGACCATCACAGTCACTGGGTGGCTGGAGCTTGTTCAGAACTCCAATGTGATGTTAAGATAGGTGAGAGTTAATCCACTGTGACTTTGCCCATTGCTCAGAAAGTATATTCAGAATTTAACTCTACAGGTTTTGGAGCACATGTTTTTTATAACTCGACCGAGGCACTTAGTATTATATGATTAGTTTTGATTTAAAGTTTTCATCTCATCTGCCCGGCTGTTCCGGGAGGCAGGGAACGTACTTTCTCTTTGTGTTCCAGCCTCAGCTCCCAACTGTCCCGACACAATGAACATGGAATCAGAGGTGGTTGATTGGACAGCAAGGCTAAAAGCATTTGTCCATTTCAGTTGGTATCAGAAGCTGCACAGGATTCTTCCTTTTCCTTCCCCTCCCCACTCCTTCTTTCCCTTCTCCTCTCTTCTCTTCCTTCGCCTTCCTTCCTGGATAATTCAGTCCTAAAGCCATAGGTGGGGCACAGCCAGGTGGGCAGCCCCACATTGAGGGGCAGGGGCAGAGAAGGAGTCACAGTGACTCCAAGTTAGAAACTGAGTAGGGTGGGGAGGGTGTCCACGTGGAAGAGCAGCCAGGCATGGGTGTGGGAGCCCAAGCTAGGTGAGAAAGATGTCCACACAGAGGGGTGGTCTGGCGAGAGTCCACAATAGGACAGGGTAAAATCTCAACATCACCTCTGGAATATTCTTACCAGGGAGGCAAACCTTCAAGAAATCCTCAAAAAATCAGACAAAACCAAATAAAGGAATATCTACTCCTAATCTGTAACTGGTGTGTCATCTTCAATAAAGTCAAGGTCCTGAAAGTGATTAAAAAAAAAAAAGAAAAAACAAGCCCAGATTGGAGCCATTTGCCCCCCAACCCCACCTCACAGCAAACTAAGACTAATCACAGTTTCAACTTATCCCAGGAAGGTGACCTTTTAACAGTCCATCTGAAATTTCCTGATGGGCACTAGTGAATCATCTTCAGGATAGAAACCCTGCAAGTCCATCCCCCAGAATGAAGGTGTCCTGGCCTGAAGCAATGCTTTCTTTTCCCTCTGTGCTCTTTCTGCCCCACCCTCCTCCCTAGAAAACCCTGCATTTTGTACACCTCCTGGGAGCATCTGTCTACTTGCCAGGTGTGATGGTGCTGATTCATTAATCCCTTAATAAAGCCAATTATCTCTTCAACTTGATTGTTGGAATTCTGTTCTTTAACAAAAGGCTCAACTTAGACTAAGTAAGTGTTCCAGACTGAAATAAAGAGACTAAAGAGGGGTGAAATGTAAAATCAGTGACCGAGTGAAGTCCTTCTGCTATAAAGGACATTGGGGAAACAGGCTCTGATGGTTACTTGGCAGTAATGTGTCAGCGTCCACTTCCTGACTTTGAGGGAGAATGTCTTTGTAGGAATTACAGGGGATTATGAAACATCAGGTCAGCAATTTACTCTGAGATGGATCGGGAACATAGTTCATGGAAGAGACTCTTCTGGAAGCTTGTGACTGTTCCCAGGAGAAGTGGGTCACAGAAGCAGCTCGAGCCTACACAGCTCTCCATGTCCCTACCTTAGTCTGACTTGTATTATTTAATACAACGAGGCAGCACCACACAGTGATTGAGAGATGGGGTGCTCTGAAGCTGAAGCTCCTGTGGTTTGAATCCCAGCTCAGTCCAGGGCTGAGTCTAGACCAATCAGTGGTTTTGGGTAAAAGAAGAAAAGGTGCCCCTTTTGCATAGCTGGACCCACAGGGCTTGGGCCACCCTCCACTACAGACATGGGACCTTGAACAAATTCCTTAATACCTCATTGCTCAGGACTTAGTGCCTCAGATTGTTAAAATAAGGGGATGATGCCAGGGCCTATGTGACAGGACGATTAAACTAGATGATGTGTGTGAGGTGTTTAGGACACAGACCTCGGAGCATGCAGCGAGCACGTAATCAATGTCAGCTATTACTTTCATAGCTGTATTATCCTCTGTCCTCAGGAGGCCATGTTCGTTTGGACATTTGGGTTCCATCCCTGTCGAGTCCAGCTTCAATCTGCCATTTGAGAAAGTAATTGCATACATCTTTCATGGAGGTTTAACTATGAAGGTATTGATGTCTCAGCTGATGTTCTTCAGGAATTTTCCAAAAAACAATATAAACATCCCCCTTCTAGAAGTGCCTTTTTAAGTGAGAATAATGTGAACCTCAGGGAGTTGGAGTGGGGAGGTGTCAGCAGGGGGCGCCCTCACGCCCTACCACACAGACGCAACAGGAAGAGATAGACTTGACCTTGCTCTACCCTACTATCCCAACTGGAGGAAGAAGGGCTCCCCTTGTACAACCCACCACCCCTTCTGCCTCAGAAGAGCTCAGCCAATGAGAAGCCACCACACTTCTAACTCCAGGGTTACTCCAATGGACTTCAGTTTATAACAGCCTTCCCAGCTTCTCTTTTTCTCCTGAAAAGAGCATACCATAGAAGCCACTTTCAGGCAAACAGGCTTGAGTGATGGATTGTAGAAAGGGCCCACAGCGACCCCCTGGCTGGATACAGACAGGCCCATCAGGTGACCCATCTCAAAATATCCATAGACCTAAACCTACCAATGGGCTACTTACAACCGGGCACCGTTGCCAAAAAGGAGAAAATGCCCTTTGTCACCATACCTCATCTTCCCCAAACAGTCCCCACCCACTGTGTCCTTGCAGTGTATCCAATAAACTTCTATCTCCTTTGTTCTGCCTCAGGTGAATTCTTTCACAGCCTGTGCGCAGGCTTCCACTGGATCGTCGCCCCATATTTGGGGGGCCCCATCCGATTGGGACAGACACTCCATTTAGATACCACATTTGGTAGCCTCACATGGGGAGCCTGCCCCCCCACACACACACATTTGGTGGCCACTGATGAGGGCCTTTATCAGTCTCGGGACGCTCCCCGGATTCTCCAGGAATTTCTGGGGACTTTCCCTCAGTGCACCCAGTCTAGTACTCCTCGGGGAACCGACAACCTCCGCGGAGGTGACTCTTGCGGAGGGTCCCAAGCCCCAGGGGGAACCAGGCCGACGCCACTGCCCAGAAGGGTGAGGGGTTTTCCCTTCTGCCCTTTGGGGAGGCCCTTCCCTCTCTCTCTCTTTGCGGTCCTTCCGCAGCCTAAGCCCAGTACTTCTCAGACACGGAAGGTCCCCTGCTGGGGCGGCTCTCCCGCGCGGTCTGAGGGTCTGAGGGCGAGCAGGTCAGACTGCCCGCACCTGTGAGGGCGCAGGACCCCTGCCCTCTGCTTTCTCACTGCACCCGGGAGGTGTGTTCCCAGCGTCCCGCGCAACTGGCCGCTGGCCCAGGGCGAATCCGCACACGTTCCGGGCTCGGGTGGGATCCCTTGCGGACTCTGTGGCGTCTGGGCCGCCTCGCTTCTTGCGGCCTCCGCCCCTTTCCCTCTCTCGGCCCGCGCCTCCAGCCGCCATCTTGATCTGCGGGCAAAGCCGAGCGCGCTCCTGTGAGCGGGGAGTTCTCCCCCTCCTTGTCCCCGCCAAACTGGTGTGCGGCTCTCCCTGTTGCCAGGGCACGTCCCCACAGGAAGTGCCAGGCCAGTTGCCGTGACCCTCTCCGTGGTGGGATGCTACCGGGACGCCTACACCAGAACAGTCTGCCGCCTCCTGTGGGTCCTGTCCTTTTTCAGGTCAGCGGGTCACCCTGAGTGAAATCGCGACCTCCAGCCGGAGCTCCATTCCTGATGCAGTTTTGGAATACAGGTGAGGTTCGGTGGGGTGGAGTCCGGAGCCGAGGACCAAGAAAGAATTCTTGAGGCGTCTTTGGTGCAAAATGGTGGTTTATCCAAGCACGGGGACAGGCCCCGTGGGCAGAAAGAGCTGTGGTCTTGAGGAGTGGCTGATTATATATACTCAGGAGTTGGGGAGGAGAGGACAAAGGGGGTGTCCAGAAGGACTGTCATAGCTAAAGACTCTCCAGATGCTGGAGGCCTGGTTATTGTCAAGCCAAGGTTGTTTTCCCCTCTAATGAGACACTAACATGAAGACAGTTGGGAGTTTCCTGGAGGGATGTTACATTCTTCCTCTCACACCTCCTTGTCAATGGGCTTCAGGTTCAAAAGAAATTCAGTTTTATTTACATTTCCTTCTGCCTCAGCCTCCCTCAATTTCATGTAGGGGAGGGTGATGTTAGGGCTTCAGGAAACTGAGTTGTGGGTCTCTGGAAGTTAGGTTATTGATAAGAAAGCTTCTTCCTGGGGCGCCTGGGTGGCTCAGATGGTTAAGCGTCTGCCTTCGGCTCAGGTCATGATCCCAGCGTCCTGGGATCGAGCCCCGCATCGGGCTTCCTGCTCAGCTGGGAGCCTGCTTCTCCCTCTCCCTCTGCCTCTCTCCCTGCTCATGCTCTCTCTCTCTCTCTCTCTCTGTATCTCTGTGTCTCAAATGAATAAAAAAAAAAAAAAAAAGAAAGCTTCTTCCTTGTAAATCACTAGGACATTTGTTTTTTTTGTTTTTTTATACTAACTCTCTTCTGGAAGGTTTATTATTTTATTTTTTTTTATTCTTATGTTAATCCCCATACATTACATCATTAGTTCTAGATGATGTGTTC